TCCAACAATTATAAGCCACATGACAATGTCTGAAAAAGTAACTGAATCATCCTAAAGCACATACTACATATCCAGAGAGACAGAGAGCATGATTGTGCCTGCCATACCAACAAAAATAGATGCCCGATCAAGTGCATCAACAACCTTATTCTAAACACCTGGATAGTGCTTAAGAATAAAAGTGTATTTCATAAGGAATTCTACCAACTTAGCATGGCAACAGTTCAGCTTACTTCAGCAATACAAGTAAAATCTTCAACAGCAAACAAACTTCATTTCATAGATGAATTACCTCTGTTGGCCAACATACAACATCTCACTAAAAAATGTTTTCTTTTAATATTATCTCACTAAAAAATATTTTCTTTTAATATTCTCTCACTAAAAAATGTTATTTGTCATCCATCTTGTCCCAACACTCTTATCCCTCTTCAGGCATTACGAGCAACTTAAAATAACTTATCAGCATATGTGATGCCTTAACCCTATATTGGATTGAGAGAAATGGAGAAGAAAGCATGAAATCATACTTCCACTTCTTTGGATTAAAAAAATGAAAAAAAAAATGACTAAGCACAAGGAAAGTATAGTTAGTATCCCTTAAAATTTATTTTTTCGCATTCCCCTACTTGAGAAGATGGCGCTAGTGGGAAAGGAGTTAAAATTTATAATGATAAATTCTTTATTTTACCCTTCAATATCTAATTTGCTATTCTATTAATAGAGTACATTCAAAATATAACTACTAATCATTTCTTTTCATTTACACGTCAAAAACAAACCAAATATCATAACAATCTTTTCTTTCCCCTTACTTTCTCCATTTTTAGTAACCCAAACAAAGAAAATATGGTTTCTTTTGTTTCTTTTAAACTCTTCTTTCTTTTTCCTTACTTTCCTCCCATTAGACGAGTTTCAGATATCTTTTCCTTATCTGTAAGAATGCCCCTGTAGCTGAAAGGATCCATTTAAATTATCGTAACTTCAAACAACCAACAAAGAATTGTGATAGAACTAAATCCCTTTTTATTAAAAGAAAAGAACTTTCTTGAAGAGAAATAGAATGTATAAATTGTCGAGAATGATATCAGTGGTTGGAGACGAAGTTACTACTAACACGCAAATCAGTCCTACTAGAAAAGCAGTCAGTCTCTGTACGTGGATAACTGATGAAACCAGCTTGATACAGATC